CAATTATGCTGGACATGCTGGACCGTGATTCTTTCATCACGAAGGATCCTACCTTATAATTTATAGTCATGGGTATATCGTGTGTGAGTTAATATTTTATGTCACATCGGCAATATTTTCAGCCATATCATGACTAAATCAAGATTTTTAATAATTAAATTTACATTATAAGCACGTGTCAACGAAGGACAGTGAAACAACACAGATATTAATAAGTTAAAACTAGTAATAAAAGCCTAAAACAGTATAATTATAGAAGACGATACAAAATAAAAACGGGCTATAGATTGCCAACAGCCGAAGGTAGATCACCATACCAGGGACCATTGGGACTTACAGAACATTTGCTTCCTGCATGGACCCAAGTTGGATTCACACCATCTCTTCAGCCGTTAGCAATTTTTGACAGACAGCCTAAGAAGACAACCCAGCCTAAAGTTGGGTTTATTGCATTTATACCTACTTCGGTGTCCCACTTCTTTTGCATTAGATCCCGGATGTAACATGTAATGGCAAGTGTAAAATCACTGTATAGTATAAAAAGTGGCGTCACAGATTTGATGAGGGCTGATAATACTTGTAAAAACTGTAATTCGTTTGTTTCTGATTTTTAAACGTGGCCAATGTAAGGTCGACTTGTGGCCTTACTAATTGCCAAGGAGGAGAAGAAATCATGCGGAAAGGAGATATATTTTCCAGCTCAATGTTAGCAGCAGTAATGAATGATTTTATGCGTATTCGGGGAGGTGGAATAAGTGAGGATTTTGTAACATACAGATCCTCATATAGCGGATTAAACACACATTTGCATGCAGGGTTGGACTCATTTGAATAAAGTTTTGTAACATACTCCAAAGATAGTTTAATACCGCGTTGATGGCACGTCTGCTTCAACGTAGAGAACCCGTAAAGACCCGGGTTAGAATTGATCTTCAGTAACCAACCCATGCTTGTTGTATGAGGCGACTAACGGGACCGGGTGGTCATACTCTCACGACCAGCAATGGGGTGCTGTGGACACATTCTGCCCTGAGTCCACACAGGGTAAGAGCTAGCGTTACCAAGCACTTACCCGTTACCTAGGAGGTGCACATATTTGGAATTTTGAAATGTATCCTTTAATCAATTTTTGACGAATGCACAAATTATTGATTTGTTTTCTTTCCTAAAGTCCTATGCTAGTAGGATTGGGTATACCCTTCAGGTATCCTTGGTATTGTCTGTTGGAGATCCACAGAGTGAGTGAGTGAGTTAAAATTTAAAGCCACATCGGCAATATTTCAGCCATATCGTGAATAATATTGGAAACTTCGTAATATTGGAAATAACATTTAAGTATCAATGGAGTATTTGAACCTACTTTTTTAAAAAATACACTGGAAGTCAAGTTTGAGGAAAACATGAGTCGTGGTCGTATAGCCTGTATTGCCCAATTAAGTATTGTTTGAGATTGAGGTTTGAAATATTTTTGTTTGTGGAAAGGGAAACGTTTGCACAAACAACATTAAAATCGAGATGCACGTGCATCATGCATGCATTCAGCCATAAATTGCCAGCTTGAATGGCAATCGTTCAGTCGAACACAACAGCTATGGCTAGGTTAACGAGAGATCAACGACAACAAGCCATTGGACGTCTAGACGCTGATCAACGTGCTCGAGTCATTGCTAATGACTTCAATTGCAGCGGACGAACGATAGGACGTCTTAGACAGCGATGCAACGCCGCCAACAGCACTGATGACCGTCCACGTAGTGGTCGAGCCCGCGTAACAACATGTCGCCAGGACCGTCATATTGTCCACCAACACCAACAGCCCCCTGAAATTGAACCATTTTGCCATTGCAAAGGGTATAGAAGATTTGTCTTACGATATAAAAGTGATTACAAAAACAAAGATCGGGAACTCTCCTTATTGAATACAAAAAATAAAATCTCAAATCCTGCTTTCAGCAAAATCACAGGCTAATGTTCTTGTCAAGGTCACTCCTCACAGGACACTCCCACGCTGTGAAACGTTTCACTTTTGAAAGAGAAAATGAAACTCTAAAAAGCAACACATACTTGTTTACTTTCTGTCTTCCATCACGCCCAGACTCACTCTGGTTATTGTCACCTAAGGGTAGATGCCTATATTCCTAATCCCCTTAGGTGTTACGATTACCAAAGATACGGCCATGGCTCCAAATCATGCCATAACCCAGCTGCCTGCCACCGATGTGGTGAGAAATGTGAAGACAGAAACCTCTAATAATCCGTCAGCCTGTGTAGACCGCTCTGGAAGTCATCCTTCATCTTCATCAATGTTCTACATTGAAACATTGAAAACTCTCGGGTTAAGTATAACCTTTTCAGAGGCAAATAAATTCGTCCTGGCTCATGAAAATCCTGGCCCGTCTTATGCGCAGCCGCTTCTGCTAAATGTCAACTCCGCCTCCCGGGTCTATTCCATGTAAATCAGTAGGTTGCCAGACAGAGTACACGTGGGCAAACTCTTCCGCCTGCAGCTTGATATCTGCCGAAACCTACATAACAGACATCCAGTTCACAATCATTCAAAACATCTTGCAATCAGGACTCGTCTTTATCTCAGACCAATTCAGTTCCAAACTGTTAAGCTGACATAAACGAGAAACAAACTGAAAAAAGCAAATTCAAATCTAGACCTGAAACAAATAAAAAGAATCAAAGTGGTAGAAACCCCAAAGGGGCTAATAACCAGGTCCAACTCTTCAACAAGTTTAGATCACTTTAAGCCAAAACCATGGTTGGACACATAGCTTGTCACCCTCGAGGAAGGCGAGGGGTCGATCTCCTGTTACCCCGAAGAGACAACTTCTTCACCTCCATTTTTCGGAAGGAATCATGTACTCCGCAGCTCTATTACACTTAAAACAAATCTCCAAGCTGTTGTTGTACGACTTATTTTGCATGTTGCAGTTAAGTTGTACTGTTTGTACATTCCGACTTTATCTGACGATTTCCGAGATGTTTACAAGCAAAATGCTAATGCATTTTGAGGTCATGCAAGAGTATTGAGCAGCTGCCATAAATATTGTTCTCACTTTAACTGCTGAGGCGGCTAAAAAAAAAGTACCAACAGTGGTGGAAACAACTATTTCACTTTCATAAGTCATATGGTTTCTTAGATCAAGGGACCGGAACGGCGAACTGGGCTTTCAGTAACATTACTAGACAAAAACCTTCTTTCGCTCTGGCACCAATGTGCAGGTTGGTATGTGCATCATTATTTAGATCATTATATTACCTCATGTAAGAATGTCCTTCTCTGAATGGGTCATGTGAACTCGAACAAATGACAATGAGTAGTATAGCAATGGGGAAAACACCCCTGCGGAGGTGCACCCAATAATAAGGCAATGGGAAAAAAGTCTGTGGAGGCCCTTTTCGACTACTTTAGGTCCTCCTTTCTCCATATACAGAAAATACAACAACATACGACAACATACAGCATCACGACAACATACAGCATCACGGCAACAGAAGACAAAAGTAGCTTACACAAGGACAGTACAGAGCCCACTCGTTTTCGACTACATTTCTGTGTGTTGGACTACATTTTGTGTTCTGTGTTTTGGAGTAGTATAGTAGTGGGGAATCCCAGTGGAGGTGCACCTCCTGCCTCTAGGAGTCTCCAAACGGACTAGAAAGCTACCCACCTACAACTCGCCCCCACTCCACACACATACCCCCGATCGAAGTGAACCCAAATTAGAGATATGCAGGTGTATGGATATAGAACAAACCGATACAACAATGCCAGGAAACAAGCTATCGCGAGAAGCCTATGCCGAGATCTGATCTGGCAATATGTCTCTTCGAAGGCGAAGAAGAAGAGAAACATATATCATGAGCCAGATATATCTTGAAACGGGACAGCTCAAAACAGACCCGAGACACAAACAGAGACACACACACACATAGACAACTTCCGACTAGGCAGAGGTCTTGAGACCCTGCTAGTTGACTTTCCCAATCTATTTCTTTCCGACAAGAGAGAAACAAACCCTAGAGCAACCGGGACACACATTCTCTGAAGCGATACCAGATTCCTAGACAGATTCTCGAACTCTATTTGCTGCGGTAGATTTTGTCTACATATACCCACCAAACCAATTCCGACCTTGCACAGGCAAACTCCGAATCGTTCTCGCCAATCGCCGAGAAACAAAGGGCAGATAAAACCAATGCACCGACTGCCTCGCTGCTATATCGGAACTACCTACCCTATCCAAACCAGACAAGTCTACTTGCAAGTGTGGCGCCATAGACCACTGCGTTATCAGCAAGAAATGTATTCTCTGGAAAAACAAATACATTCCTACAACAGGACCCCCGGCAGATTGTCCCCACTAGAGGTTCTAGAAAAAAATCGAGATTCCCTACTGCATTGCAATTAAAAGAGAACCTGTACGACCAAGATTGTTTCGCCTGGTGCCTACGATACATATTCCTCTGCAATAGATATGCAGACAATTGTATATGCCCGAAGAAAGATTCATGTATCATCCGGAAGCTAGCTGGAAAGGCGCAGCCACTACCAAAGCAATAGCAAATGTATTTCCCCATTGACAAACTAGGGCGGGTTTACATGGCAGACGTCTTCCAGCATGAAACCTGCAGTATCTCCTCTATCTCTTTTCGAAAGGTGTCATTTTGGTGACATTGTGTTTGGCAAATGTATATTCCTATCGCATCCCATATCTCTAATAGAAAATGTGTTTGCTTGGATTTTTCTAAACATTTTCCTGGGAATTCCCAAACCTAGGACTGAAACCAAAAGACAACTTTTGGAAAGAGTGATGGCGGAGATACCAGGTTAAGCGCCAGGAAGTTTATCCACCGAGCCATGTTAGTTTTTTTCTAAAAAACCTAAGGAAAGGACGCATAACACCCTGTATACCCCTCAGCATAATGCTACCACTTATAATGTAGCTAGGACATGACTGATGACAATACAAGATCAATAACTACGGAAAAATCTCAGGATCATTTATAGTTAAACACCCTCAGTATCTTGCTGGATAGTTGCTACCCACTCACTCACATAAAATGATTAAACTCTGGAAATGGCTTTCATGATGAATGGTCTTGGAGAATGGCTTAAGCCGATGATTCCATTCGAAGAAGGCATCTGACCATCCACCGGGACAAACTTGAACCTCTGGATCATGGTGGTCAGGAAGAGGAACAACTCCATCCGGGCCATGGACTCGCCCAGACACACTCTTCGACCTGAAACATTTCAAACGTTTAGGTTTAAATCTCCTGCATTGAAATGTGTCAGGAAATACAAGACCTACTCTTACGAGATCGACGTTAGGTAAATGTTACATTTCGTTGATATTGCATCATTGGGACAGTTGACATTGACAGTGATATCAAGGCGTATGGCATGGTATCCGGCATAGCTCGATGTGTATATTAAAGTATTGGAAACAGTAAGTCTTAATTCATTGATACATTAAAATGTGTTGAACTCACCCAGAGAGAATGGAATAAACTCATCTTTCTTTACTATCTTGCCATTGTCGTCAAAGGAAACGGTCAGGTCGAAAGTTGTCTGGGTCACCCCACATCCGGGTCTTGTAGGACCGAATCAAGCATCAATATGACCAAGACACCTTTTGGGAACGTGTAGCCCCTGAACTGGACATCGTGGGGAACGGTGTGTGGGAGAGCTGTAGGGGCAATATCAGCTCGTCTCAAGACTTCCAAAATGGTTGCCTCCACGTAGGGCAGGTTGATCTTGTCCTTCATGGAGGGACGTCTACTCTGGCCAATGTTTTCTTTGATCTCCTGAAAACACTTTTCCTGTATTTCCGGGTAGCGGAGTAAGTAGACCATGGTCCATCGTATTGTAGTAGCTGTTGTTTCTGTTCCGGCCACAAAGAGGTCTGCGATAGCCTTTTTCAGGTTCTCCACTGAAACAAAGTACGAGGAATGCCCTTTATTTGTATTTCATTTGAAATATACTCTTATTGTGATCTTAAATTTGAATAGATCTCCTGGCAGAAAGCGCACAATAGGCAGCACATTCACTACTCCAGCCGAGCCCATATTTGCCAAAGCTTCGTCCATGGCTTTTAAAAATGTAATAAAAAGCGGGTCAGTATATTCAAATCGTTTGCCGAAAATAATAGAGCAGATGACATTCGACACTGCGTTGTGCACCAGATGTGTGCAGTCGAAGCCTTGTCCCCGTTCTGTCTCGAAGGCCTCGATAAACTGTGAGATTTCCTCGTGTATTTTGTCCTCCATGGTATTCCTGCCTGCTCCGAACTCCCTGAAAGTGTTAAGGGCGAATCGTCTTTGCTCGCGCCAGAGTTCTCCAGAGGTTCCAGTTATACCTGTAAAAGGAAGTACTTCAGCTCACAAATACCAACTGAAAAAACCCATCTGAAATAACATATTTTCTTCGAGATAAGAAAGTGGTGATTTACTTTCAATGTATCGGGAGAACAATAATTTTACAATTCTTTACCCCCCTTTGTAGATACAACTACCAACAATCTTAGTTCAAAAGAAAGCAATAATCAAATGAGAATTAACCTTCTTAAAAAAGATCCCTTGTGATGGAATAATAAATACAATTATGCTGGACATGCTGGACCGTGATTCTTTCATCACGAAGGATCCTACCTTATAATTTATAGTCATGGGTATATCGTGTGTCAGTTAATATTTAATGTCACATCGGCAATATTTTCAGCCATATCATGACTAAATCAAGATTTTTAATAATTAAATTTACATTATAAGCACGTGTCAACGAAGGACAGTGAAACAACTAGGCTATCACAGATATTAATAAGTTAAAACTAGTAATAAAAGCCTAAAACAGTACAATTATAGAAGACGATACAAAATAAAAACGGGCTATAGATTGCCAACAGCCGAAGGTAGATCACCATACCAGGGACCATGGGGACTTACAGTACATTGCTTCCTGCATGGACCCAAGTTGGATTCACACCATTTCTTCAGCCGTTAGCAATTTTTGACAGACAGCCTAAGAAGACAACCCAGCCTAAAGTTGGGTTTATTGCATTATACCTACTTCGGTGTCCCACTTCTTTTGCATTAGATCCCGGATGTAACATGTAATGGCAAGTGTAAAATCACTGTATAGTATAAAAAGTGGCGTCACAGATTTGATGAGGGCTGATAATACTTGTAAAACTGTAATTCGTTTGTTTCTGATTTTTAAACGTGGCCAATGTAAGGTCGACTTGTGGCCTTACTAATTGCCAAGGAGGAGAAGAAATCATGCGGAAAGGAGATATATTTTCCAGCTCAATGTTAGCAGCAGTAATGAATGATTTTATGCGTATTCGGGGAGGTGGAATAAGTGAGGATTTTGTAACATACAGATCCTCATATAGCGGATTAAACACACATTTGCATGCAGGGTTGGACTCATTTGAATAAAGTTTTGTAACATACTCCAAAGATAGTTTAATACCGCGTTGATGGCACGTCTGCTTCAACGTAGAGAACCCGTAAAGACCCGGGTTAGAATTGATCTTCAGTAACCAACCCATGCTTGTTGTATGAGGCGACTAACGGGACCGGGTGGTCATACTCTCACGACCAGCAATGGGGTGCTGTGGACACATTCTGCCCTGAGTCCACACAGGGTAAGAGCTAGCGTTACCAAGCACTTACCCGTTACCTAGGAGGTGCACATATTTCGAATTTTGAAATGTATCCTTTAATCAATTTTTGACGAATGCACAAATTATTGATTTGTTTTCTTTCCTAAAGTCCTGTGCTTGTAGGATTGGGTATACCCTCCAGGTATCCTTGGTATTGTCTGTTGGAGATCCACAGAGTGATTGAGTGAGTGAGTTAAAATTTAAAGCCACATCGGCAATATTTCAGCCATATCGTGACTAATATTGGAAACTTCGTAATATTGGAAATAACATTTAAGTATCAATGGAGTATTTGAACCTACTTTTTTAAAAAATACACTGGAAGTCAAGTTTGAGGAAAACATGAGTCGTGGTCGTATAGCCTGTATTGCCCAATTAAGTATTGTTTGAGATTGAGGTTTGAAATATTTTTGTTTGTGGAAAGGGAAACGTTTGCACAAACACAACATTAAAATCGAGATGCACGTGCATCATGCATGCATTCAGCCATAAATTGCCAGCTTGAATGGCAATCGTTCAGTCGAACACAACAGCTATGGCTAGGTTAACGAGAGATCAACGACAACAAGCCATTGGACGTCTAGACGCTGATCAACGTGCTCGAGTCATTGCTAATGACTTCAATTGCAGCGTACGAACGATAGGACGTCTTAGACAGCGATGCAACGCCGCCAACAGCACTGATGACCGTCCACGTAGTGGTCGAGCCCGCGTAACAACATGTCGCCAGGACCGTCATATTGTCCACCAACACCAACAGCCCCCTGAAATTGAACCATTTTGCCATTGCAAAGGGTATAGAAGATTTGTCTTACGATATAAAAGTAATTAAAAAAACAACGATCGGGATCTCTCCTTATTGAATACAAAAAATAAAATCTCAAATCCTGCTTTTAGCAAAATCACAGGCTAATGTTCTTGTCAAGGTCACTCCTCACAGGACACTCCACGCTGTGAAACGTTTCACTTTTGAAAGAGAAAATGAAACATACTTGTTTACTTTCTGTCTTCCATCACGCCCAGACTCACTCTGGTTATTGTCACCTAAGGGTAGATGCCTATATTCCTAATCCCCTTAGGTGTTACGATTACCAAAGATACGGCCATGGCTCCAAATCATGCCATAACCCAGCTGCCTGCCACCGATGTGGTGAGAAATGTGAAGACAGAAACCTCTAATAATCCGTCAGCCTGTGTAGACCGCTCTGGAAGTCATCCTTCATCTTCATCAATGTTCTACATTGAAACATTGAAAACTCTCGGGTTAAGTATAACCTTTTCAGAGGCAAATAAATTCGTCCTGGCTCATGAAAATCCTGGCCCGTCTTATGCCGCAGCCGCTTCTGCTAAATGTCAACTCCGCCTCCCGGGTCTATTCCATGTAAATCAGTAGGTTGCCAGACAGAGTACACGTGGGCAAACTCTTCCGCCTGCAGCTTGATATTTGCCGAAACCTACATAACAGACATCCAGTTCACAATCATTCAAAACATCTTGCAATCAGGACTCGTCTTTATCTCAGACCAATTCAGTTCCAAACTGTTAAGCTGACATAAACGAGAAACAAACTGAAGAAAGCAAATTCAAATCTAGACCTGAAACAAATAAAAAGAATCAAAGTGGTAGAAACCCCAAAGGGGCTAATAACCAGGTCCAACTCTTCAACAAGTTTAGATCACTTGAAGCCAAAACCATGGTGGGACACATAGCTTGTCACCCTCGAGGAAGGCGAGGGGTCGATCTCCTGTTACCCCGAAGAGACAACTTCTTCACCTCCAGTACAATGGAATTGAAGAGGACTCAGGACAAATTTGAATGATTTACATCTGTGAGTCCAAGATTTTAGACCGTCAGCATTCTGCTACGGGTCGTTTTGACTTACGTCAATTTAATGCATATCATTATTTTTCGGAAGGAATCATGTACTCCGCAGCTCTATTACACTTAAAACAAATCTCCAAGCTGTTGTTGTACGACTTATTTTGCATGTTGCAGTTAAGTTGTACTGTTTGTACATTCCGACTTTATCAACTGTTCAGCTCGTGGAACTTCAAGCTCTGTATGATGAATTTCCTAACACGTGTATGATCATGGGTGATTTAAACGGGCACAATCCACTCTGGGGTGCTGCAACTACAAACGCTAAAGGCAAAATTCTGGAGGATTTCATAAAGAATAATGATTTTTGCATTTATAATGATGGTTCAAATACGTATTTACATCCTGGCACAGGAACTTATTCAGCTCTTGATTTGTCAATTACTGACGCCAACCTATTGATAAAATCTGAATGGTCAGTCCACGACGACCTCTCTGGAAGTGACTATTTCCAAACAATACTAAAAGCCGTGAATCAAGCTGATGTTTCTCCATCGACAAGATGGAATTTTAAAAAGGCCAACTGGATTTAATGAAAATCTCTGCACTGACAAACTTGAACCTGAATTTTTCATTAACTTTCCTGATGCTATAAAATGCTTTTCTGATGAACAGAATAACATATCTGACGAGTGTATCCCAAAGTCTTCTACAATTTCTCTTGTACTCAAACCATGGTTTAATGTTGACTGCAAACAGTCTCTCAAGGCACGGAAAAGGCTGAGCATTATATCCACCCCACCCTGTGATCCATAATTTGAACAAATATAAAATTTTAAACGCCCAATCATGGCGGACTTTAAACAAAATAAACGTCAATCTTGGCGAAACTATGTATCAAAAATCAATGCACGTACACCAATTTCTAAGGTATGGAGGTTGATCCAGAAAATCAAAGGTGAGGGCTCTTGATCTAGCATTCACCATCTGACTGACTGACTGACTGAGTTTTGGTTTTACGCTTAAGGCTAAATTGACTTTGAAAGTTTTGGGACTTACGTACCCTCACAGGAGGACAATAATTGTACGATACTTTAACCCCCTAGAGGATACAGCCACTTAAAATCGCAGTTGCTGCAAAAGAAGTGGGATACCCAAGTAGTTGTCAATAAACTGCTTGAAATTAAATCAACTATTGGTTATACCTACTTGGGTTGTCAGTCCAGATTTGAGGAGATCATTATACAACGTTGTTGTATTGGCCTTTTAAGTGAGTGAGTGAGTGAGTGAGTTTAGTATTACACCGCTTTTAGCAATATTCCAGCAATATCATGGCGGGGGACACCAGAAATAGGCTTCACAGAAATAGGCTTCACACAATGTGCCCATGTAGGGATTCGAACCCGGGTCTTCGGCATAACGAGCCAACGCTTTAACCATCAGGCTACCCCACCGCCCCGCATTCACCATCTGAAAAATGGGAATCAATTATTAACTAATAGAACAAATATTGCAAATAAACACTGGCCAAACATTCTTCTTCATCTGATTATGTACCTCAATTTAAAAATTATCACGAATATATTATTTTCAATTCAGATAATGGAGAAGAATACAAAAAAATATTTTCGATTCATGGACTCCGTATGCTCTTGACCAGGCTCACGATACTGCTACAGGAGCTGATAACATCCTTTAAGAACTCCTGAAGCACTTACCGGACTAATGTTTGGAGACGCTTCTAAATATATATTTTATGACATCTGGACGTCTGGAAAGTCTGATCATTATAATTAGGACCAGGGTATCCCATAAGGCAGTATTTTGTTTGTCGTTTTATTTATCAACAATTTGCCAAATGTTTTAAATGCTTC